CGAATATGCACAGACCCTACAGGACAAACTACAGCTTGCACACAAGGCAGCACAGGAGGCGACCGGGTCACCAGTACGCCTCGCACTCGTCGTGGTTGAGCAGTCCGGAAACCACGAAGGTACTTGCAACAAGTCTACCCTTCCCCCAACACTGGAGCAGAGACGGAAAGCGCAAACAACCAGCCTGGTCAATAATCCCAGAACCAGTCCGAGATCAAGATGGAGAGGAGTTTGTTTCAGTGCCGAGTGTGCGGGCAAGCATACGCCTCTTCTCATAACAGACGAAGGCAAGAAAAGGCAGCGCACGAGGAGCAGAGCTTCCCTTGCCACCAGTGTTCGCAGGTGTACAAGCGTGCCGACTACCCAGCACGCTTGCGCCGCCGGTGGAGAGGCTGAAGGAGCAGCGGGCGGTGTCCCAGACAGACGGCTGGTCACTGTAGAAGAGGAACTACCGTCGGAGGGGAGGCTGTACTTCGGAGGCAGATGGTTTTCCGCAAGCAGAACTCACACAGCTGGCCTCAAGGCAGTCGTTTTTCTAAATTGAGTGAAATCTTAGAAATGTGCCCTATTCTGGAGAATAGGCTTTTTCGTAGGAGGGGGTAATGTAACGGACATTTGTATAGCCTTTTTCATGTTTTATTGCCACGTTAATCTTTCGTACGCCGCCGGTGGCGCTGAGGGCCGCCGGCGGAGGGCTTCCGGCGGAGTGCCCTGACCTTTTCCTCTTGTGCTGGGTGCGCACCGGAAATTGGTTTCTATTTTGGGGCGTTGTGGTTTGGCGGGCGCGGGAGGGAAATTGGAAAAGTGCCTGGGCGGCGGCCTTAGAAATTGTTATACATTGTGATACATGCTGTGTTTTGTAGAGCTTGAGTGTCACGTCGGCAGTAGTTGTTATTCTGACGGCCGTTTGGAAGGTCGTGCACCGAGTTTGGTGAATAAAACAACTAAATTCTTTTTGGAAGTCCTGTATCTATTCTCCCTCTTTTGCGTTACCGGGTTTTGAGGGACAATAGCACCTAGGGCTACACTACAGTATGAAATTTCATATGAAACAGGTCATCAAAAATGTCACACAAAATACCAAAAACAGTGAGAAACGATGAGGTTTTTCCCTTGCAATTATTGTGCAAATAAACATTTTTTAATGTAAATTAATTGAATGTAATCAAAACATATTAATTGACAAATATATATGTACATTAAAAGGAAAAGTGAAACTGGTCGTTTTAAATGGTCATAATTGTGATGTCCCTGACATACACATTGGCCCCCATATTAAAATAAAGACCCACATGTACATGTACGCCAAGCAATGCTATCAGGCATTCAAACATATATGTAAATCGGTTCGGAGACACATTTTCAAGAATCAGCTTACACCTGTTGTCAATATCTCTCTCAGTTTTTCTGGCACTACAAGGTTATTTTCTGTATGGGGCTTTTGTTTTGCAACCAGCCCAAGCCTCTGTTGGCCTTCTTCAAAGAACATGTACGTGTTTGAATGTTTATTTTTTCCACACAAGCAGGAAATGACATTTTTTTGGACTTTCAATGTTTGATTTTTTTAATTCCCAGGCTTTTTGTCGTGCCATGTCCCATACAATATCATAAATTGCACTTCATGCAATAAGCATCTATCAGTTACTTTATAAAAATTACACTTCACTAGAAATTCTCATTCAAATTAAAGTGCCCAATACTGCATTATCACATGTAACTTGGCCAAAAGTGTCAATCACAATAGAATACTTTCCTCTGTGTTGAACCACACTTACGTTTGATATCAGGTATCACCCCGCCATTCGGGATTGCGTTGCGCATGATAGGCCTAAGCATTACAATTCCGTAACACCCAGAAAGTCTTGCTTGTTGTGCTTATTGCGATGAAACGGCCTCAATTCGTTGATCACAACAGTCTACTTCCTTTTGATTTTAACGGTACCGGTACGTGTACATGTAGTTTCTCAAGATACCGGTATCATGTTACATTTACATGTATCGCTGTAGAGCCAATGCTTTGTTCTCAGATGCTAAAACACTCAGGTGTGAAACACTGTTTTGAAAATGCTCCCATTTGAACCAGAGCAATAGTACTTTCCTGGGTTAAAATTTCAAATGAAAATGCCTTATAAAATTTCAGTTTGCTACATACATTTGCATGCAATTACACATTGAAAAATTCCCCTTTTTAAGTAACGTTGACATACATGTACAGTTCGGAAAGTCCTTGTGGAGACCTTTACACGTACATTTACATGTATATGTGCTTACACATATACATGTAAATTTTAGACAAGAGTTGCCTTGTGGACACCTTTTCAACCTACATGTATGGCACACGAACGTTTTCTCGTGGATCTCCAAAAGGAACCACAGAAACATTGGGCGTGGGACAGCCAAGTTCTTTGCATTTCCCACACACACACAGGAGATGTGGTATGGTCCAAAATGTAACCAGGCTCTTTTAACACATAATTAAGGAGAAAGAAAACCACTGTCTGTACATGTCAATCCTTCTGAAGTCAACAGTGAATTGGAAGTGATTGATACCCAAACTGACATAAATGTACATAATGTATATAGGTTTAAAATACAGCAACATGAGTGATTGCTATTTACCCTCCTTTAGCTGTCACAGACAGTCAAAAATTCTTTTCACTTCTCCGTGCACATTACATACATGTATCACTGACTGATTTGACCGATAGGACAACTGTTGGGAAGGTGTATTAATGACTGATTGTAAATACGGCACATTCGGTGTAAATGTACATACATGTATTTACATGTATCAAAGACAAATGTGTACTTACCAACAACAGAAAGCAAAGTTGAGTCCATACCGTTCTTGTTGGCATAACCAGTTCTTTGAAACAAAACGAAGCACCAGTATTTTCCTCCATCGTTTGAGTACTGCAGCGAGTTAACAGTCAAGATGTTACTACTGTCTACAGAGTCAATGGACATTGCATACTTGCTGTCTCCTATTGGGTATGTTGGAGTTGCACCCAGGCCATTGACAAATGTAGCAATCGTAGTTGCTGACGCAAAATCTGCATCACCTTTCCTCCACTGGATCCGACTTAATGAATAATTACTTTCTGTGACTTTGTAGCTGCAGTTGATAGTAGCAGAATGTCCTTGGTCACCATATGAATAAGGCGGAATTGTTACGGCGACAGAATATCCTGAAAGAACAACTGTGTTGGGGAAAAAAGTTAGAAAATGACAGCTGTCAAAGATTAAACTGGCATTTATCAGCAGACTTGGCCAATTTATGAGTTGGTAAACATGGTTAGGAGTACTAGCAGAGTCGTAGTCTACAGGTACAACTACAAATTCTGCCTGGGGTCATAGTGTTATACCATACATACATGTACATGTAAGTGCATGTGTCTTTGGACAAGGAACTTTGCCACTCATCGCTTCTCCCACCCAGAAGTAATAAACCTTTTCGGAGTTGAATTTGAAGAAAATCTGGAACACTAATTGCATATAAACATAAGAATTTGAATTCCCACAAAAAAGACACTGTGGAAATACCTTGTGATTCAGAGCAACCTTTTGCTTCCAGCAACCACCATCTCTGGAATGGACTTGTTCCTACTAGTACGTGCCCTTGTCATTGACTGAAAACAGTATAGCAGTGCAAGGTGTCCCTTGGTTTATGTAGGGTAACTAAGCAAGAGCTTATAAGTTCCCAATCATGAGGTACAGCAACATTCTTTAGTATGGAGACTTCAAATACCGGTATTTACATACATGTATGTAAAATGTTCACGTGAATTTACATAACTCAGTGTTCTAGATTTTATTCAAATTTAACTTACAAATTTCTTTTTGGGTACCTGTGAGACCAGAGATGGTTATCAAGTTTTGTGATTTATAGCTGGTTTGCATCAAGGAGCTGAGATGTATGGCAATATTTCATTGGCCAAATGAGCAGGGGTAATAATAACGGAAAACATTTGATCTTAATTAGAAGCACTTGTACATGTCATGCCTGACTTTTCCAGTCAAAGACCACTAAAACGTCAAGTCTAACGTCTTTATTTTTTGTTTCATGATCAATGTTCGGGGCCTCAGGATGGTGTGTATAAATATTAATGGCTTGTCTAAATCCCATCACATAAGCGTGTTTAAAAGTATGAATGATTTATAATAGTGGATCAACTATTAGTAGAATAACAAAAACATGCTGACCACGGGCAGCGCTATTTTGAAAACGAAGGCAGCACATCGTGCGTCAGAAGTCAAGGCACCCGACAGGGAACCAGTTTCGTATGGTACAACATATACCAGAGCGCCTGTTGGGTTCCGTGACTTATGACGCACGACGTGCTGCCTCTGCTGCTTTCGTTTTTAAAGTGGCGCCGCCCGTGGTCAGCATGTTCATGTAATACCACTGGCCAGATTTTTCAAGGCGCCATACATCAGAAAATTTACGATTTTGGAAAGCTTTAGGGTGCTTGTATGAAAGTCCAAACTTTGAGGATTATGCCAGTGTAAGTAAAACTGTCTAGTCATTCTCATTTCGGAAGATACTGGGATTCAAAGTTTGTGGCAATCCTGCAGTTTGGATTTCAGGCATTTAAGACAGGCATTTAAGACGTGCCTTGAAGTAGGGCTGTGGTGGAGACAGATAAGAGACAGATTGTAAAAGAGAGCCACTACAGCCCTATTTGTTGGGCTAACTTGACTGGTACTTGAGTCAATATTGAGATGGCTGGAGAGTAGGGTATGTAGGGCCTACTGAAGGAATGGGGGCCATGTATCCAAGCATCAGTGATTGAATGCTAACTACCATGATGCCCTGTAATTTAACTTGCACACTTCGAAGCACATAAATCAAGCACATTAAAAAAATTAAGGACTACACTCAGTGCTATCTAGAACTACAATCCCGGCCAAATCTCAATTGGCCCCCATCCCCTGCCTCCTCTCAAGGGTCTCAATGAGCAGTCTGCCCTCCAGCTCAAGAAGACAACATTGAAGGGGGGAGCCTTGAAAGGGTATGGCTTCTTGACACGTGTCAACAATTTAGTCCAGTTCCAGGATTGTAGCACTAGGAAAATTCTGCAAGTTTCACAAAAAAACTGCACTGAACAGGCCTCCGCTCTGTTATCATAGACTGTATAGTTACCTGTTGAAAGTAAGCCAATCATCATGATAATGCATGATGTACATGTAGGCCTAGGCCTACACCAACCTGTGGTGTCCATGACAAACTCTGATGGGTGGTGACGATAAAAAGCTCCTTTGGAAAAGAAAGAACAAATGCCCTGATCAAGCGTGTTAAAATGGTAAAACGTAGGCACTGCGGCCAAGGCCTACCACTACACCCATGTTGAGCATGTGTAAACATGGTTGGCCTAGACCCGTAAACAGGGCCCGATACGACGGGGGGATACATACATGTAAATGTATTCGTCGGGCCCTGTTTACGGGTCTAGGTTGGCCTGTCAGCCTGTGGTGAAGAAGAAAATGCACCACAGTCTAGCTAATGTACGCGTAGTGACTGTGTGACGTGCAGTAGACCTATGTACATGCATTTATAGCTCCATGGTACTTGTTATGTACATGTATGTAGGTCTTACAATACATGTACAACTTCTTCGCCTCTTCCGATTGGCGATGCAGAATTACACCTGGTCCATCCAGACTGATTATGACCGTTGTTATCGTTTCTTTCTCCGCCCTGTGCAAAACCTCCCCGTCTTACCTCATATCATGATTCATGCATGATTATAAAATGCATTCGTAGGGCCTACAAACATCCACATCATACATGTCATATATCGATGCATCGCGTACATGTACTGTACGTACATGTACATGTGAATGGAATGACGTGCACAAGTACGCGTACGCCAGGTACACACCAGAATGTATAAGATCCCCTCGAATAGCAGTAAAACTAACCGCTCATTTCTGAATGTAGCCGCCCGCCTCCATTCAAAATCCCACGCAATTTGACCTGAAATTCGGGCCCCTTTTTTTCTCAAAAAAAGCTCCCCGGACGCCGGGAAAACAGAAATTAGAAAGGTTCAATCAAAAATTCCATCTGCTCGTCCTCTTTGTGGTAGTTTTTCTTCTCTGTGTCCCGCAGATGTGAAGAAGATGTTTGATTTCCGTTTGTTTACAGAATAAGACTGTCATTGCGTAAAAAAACACTGCCGCATTCAGTGGCGAGAGACAAACTGTATTAACTTTCTTCCGAAAAACAAGAGAGCATATTTAGTTTTTGTATTGGTTTTTCCTATTTTGGGTAGATTTTCTTTGTTTTGAGCTATTTTTACTGCGAAAACGGCCCTCGAGGTGATATTTTAAATGGTGCATTCCACCACGTGGTTGTATTTCTGCGCAAGCTCATTAATATTTTGTGATCCCACAAAATTTGTAATTTTAGACTAGAATGAGCGCCTTTTTTTTCTATTTTGTGGGTACCTTCGTTCAAAGGCAAATAAACAAAACGTTTCGTGGCTAACCCCCCATGAAGTTGAAACGAAAAGTGATCTTCTTGCCATAATCTTGACTTTAGTGTAAAAACGGATGCCAACCTCTTCATGAGAGTCAACAGGCGGCGCTATTTCGGTCCGATTTACACTGTTTTCTATAGGCGCGTATTTGGTGTAGTGTAACCTATCCAAAGACAAGATGACGGCGTCCACAGCAACACATCAAAAGGTGTGACTCGGTTGATATTCATTTCGTGCACATGCAGATGCAAAAATGGGGTAGGACCCAAACCCACGGCTTGGTGAAAATTCTGAATAGGTTACGCGATAAGAAATCTATTATTCATATCAAAGGTAATAAGGCGGGACAGTGTTGCACCAGGGCAACCGTGACGGGGATAGCTATTATAGAAAATCACCCAAAAGTAAAGCAGAAACAAATAGGACGGAAAAACAAGAAACCCTTGCCAGAGATTTGCACGCTAAAGCAGGCGTGAAGGAAGGTCCGTGCAGCATTGAGGAATTTTGCAAATTTCAAGACGTCTCACCCGAGTACCGCATTGTGGTGTTATCGTTCGATCATTCTAACGCCACCATTTTCAAAGGGCCGTCTGACGGCATACCATTTACCTGTACTTTCACGACAATCATTACGATCTGATCACGTCCATGAAAGCATTTTTAAACAGGAGTTATCTTTGCGACAAGTGCCAGGTAGGGTACAATACGAAAGAAAAAAAACACGAGATGCGCGGGGGACTGCAAAGTGTGCATGTCTCTCGGCTGCCCGGAGGGCGAGATAGACACGTGGATGCAATGTTCGGACTGTAACCGCAATTTCAAAGACTAGCAGTGTTTCGACAATCAGCAGAGTAAAATTATCCAGGACAAATCGGTTTGTCAAACGTATTACCGTTGCAAGCAGTGCAATGTGTTCGTGAACGTCAACATGAATGGCAAGCGCGGAGAACACGAATGTACACAAAGGTATCGTTCCGCTTGCAAAGAAATGGGATCGATCGATCACGAGTGTTTCATCAAACCCGTGGAAAATAGTAAGAACGACGATTCGCCCCATAACGCGCACACAGGCAGGAGTGTGGACCGTGACTGTAATGAGGGTGGAAAGCGAAAAGAAAAAGCCAAAAAAGAAGTGGCTGAATACGTGTTCTTTGAGTTTGAGTGTACTCAAGATGACGGCGTTCACGTGCCAAATCTAAACGTAACCTGCGTAGTTTGTGAGTTTTGCGCCAAAAGGTTCGAGAACGACCCGATGTATAAATCGTGCAAGCACTGTTCGCATTTGCACGTAAAGACATTCAAAGGGAGAAATGTAAGGAGGAGTTCTGCGATTGGCTGTTTTGGATCCAAACACACCGCGAATTCGACCGCCTTGGCGCACAATTTGAAGGCGTACGACGGTTATGTTTTGCTCAGTTACTTGTACGAAAACGCCATCATACCCGAGATCATTTACACGGGGTGTAGACTACAGTCCATTTCCCTGCCACAGTATAAGCGCAAAATTATCGATTCCATGAATTTTCTGCCCAAGGCGTTGGCCAAATTGCCCCAAGTCTTCGGTCAGAAGGAACTGCACAAAGGTTTTTTCCTCACTTCTGGAAAACGAAGCAAAACCAAGATTACGCCGGCCCCTATCCGGAAGCCGAATACTACGATCCAGAAGGAATGAGTCTGGACAAGAGAAGGGAATTCTATAGTTGGTACGAGAAACAAAAGGAAAACCAGTTCGTAATGTAAGACGAATTACTGAAATATTGCATCAGTGACGTTGATATCTCGAGTCGCTGTTGTCTACAGTTTCGCACCTTGTTCAAGAGGGTCATTTCCACGGGAGAGGGTGATCCAGGCGTGGATCCCTTTAAGAGTTGCCTCGCCATCGCATCGGCGTGTAATTTAGTGTACAGAAGGAGTTTTCTGCGCGCCGATACCATGGCCATCATTGCCCCTCACTGTTACGATAATAAAGAAAATAAATCCAAAGTTGCACTGCAGTGGTTACACGACGCGTACTTGACCGAGGGGACCTATATTCAGCACGCGAGAAACCAGGGTGAAAAACAGATCGGAAAATACAAGGTGGATGGGCATGACGCCGAAAACCAAATCATTTACTCCTTCCACGGCTGTTACTTTTATGGCTGTGTCATGTGCTACGCTAATAGAAAGACGAAAGATTCGGTTAGACGCCCCAAAGATAGCCAAGAACCGTGGGATCAGGGCTCTGGCTAAGCTCATGAATCAACTCGTTCTGGGGAAATTCGGTCAGAGACCAAATATGCCCAAAGTCGAGGGGTGGTGACCAGCTCCCCAGG